ACCAAGGAGGATAATCAGGTGGCCAGCAAATGCATGAAGATATATTCATGATCATTGGCCATCAGAGAGATGCAAATCAAAACAACAGTGAGATACCATCTCACCCCAGCACTGATGGCAAGGTTCAACAAGACAGAAAATAACAAATGCTGGTGGGGATGTGGAGAGATTGGGACTCTCATACACTGCTAGTGGGACTGTAAAATGATACAACCACTGTGGAAAGCAGTATGGCGATTCCTTAGAAAGCTGGAATTGGAGATACCATTTGACCCAGCAACTCCAATACTAGGTATATATTCTAGAGAGGTGAGAGCCAGGATAGGAACAGATATATGCATACCCATGTTCATCACAGCACTATTTACAATAGCAAAAAGATGGAAACAACCTGCCCATCAATGGAAGAGTAGATGACCAAACTATGGTACATATACACAATGGAATGCTATGCAGCACTAACGAATAATGTAGAGTCTGCAAAATACCGCATAATATGGATGAACTTGGAGCACATTATGCTGAGTGAAGTAAGTCAATCACAGAAGGACAAATACAGTATTAGTTCATTGTTGTAGATGGTCAAGGAAAGGTTTATATATGGAGGGAAACTTTCTTTGTTGGTTGCTAGAGGTGGGGGGGGGAAGGGGAGGGAACACTGCAAAAAAAAAAAAAGGGAAATCAAAGGCATCCAAATTGGTAAGGAAGAAGTCAAACTATCCGTATTTGCAGATGATATGATCATATACATAGGAAACCCAAGAGATTCAGTTTACAAAAAAAAAAAAAAGAAGAAGACTGGAACTAATTAAGAGATTTAGCATAGTGGCGAGATACAAGATCAATATCCAAAAATCACTGCTCTTCTCCAGCAAAGAGATTGCTGAAAAAGAAATAAGGAAATGAATATCATTTACAATAGCTATCAAAAAAATAAAATACTTGGGAATAACTCTTACCAGGGACACAAAAGATCTGTACAAAGAAAACTAAAAAAGACTACTTCAAGAAACCATAAGAGAGCTACATAAATGGAAGAACATACTATGCTTGTGGATAGGAATATTTAACATTGTGGAAATGTCAGTTCTATCCAAAGCAATCTATACATTCAATCCAATCCCAATCCACATCCCATCAACATTCTTTAAGGAGATGGAAAACCAATCATTAACTTTATATGGAAAGGAAAGAGACCTTGAATAAGCAAAATATTATTGAAGAAGAATAACTTAGTAGGAGGTCTCATACTCCCAGATCTCAAAACCTACTATACAGACATAGTAGTCAAAATAACCTAGTATTAGTAGAACAACAGACACTAGACCAATGGAATAGAATTAAGAACCCAGAAATAAATCTGATCTGTGGTCAGCTGATCTTTGACAAAGGGCTGAAATCCATTAAATGAGGAAGAGATTGTCTTCCTCATTAAATGAGGAAGAGATGGTGGCAAAATTGGATGTCCATTTGCAGAAAAATGAAACAAGATCTTTACTCAAACCATACACAAAAACTAACTCCAGATGGATCAAAGACTTAAATACAAAAACTAAAACTATAAAGTTCCTTAAGGAAAAAAATAGGGCCAAATTTAGGGGCCCTGCTATATGGCATGAATAGACTATCAGGCATACCCCAAAATGCACAAATAGCAGAAGAGAAACTAGATGAATGAGACCTTCTAAAAATCAAAATTTTATGTGCTTCCAAAGACTTCTTCACAAGAGGCAGAAGAGAACTTACAGATTGGGAAAAAGTATTTAGGAATGACATATCTGACAAGGGACTTATCTCTAAAATTTATAGAAGACTCCAACACCTCAACAACAAAAAGACAATAATCTAATTAAAAAATGGGCAGAAGACATGAATAGACACTTTATCAAAGAGGATATTCAGGCGGCCAACAAACACATGAAGGAATGTTCATGATCATTAGCCATTAGAGAGAGGCAAATCAAAACAACAATGACGTACCATCTTGCCCCAGCACTAGTAGCAAAATTCAAGACAGAAAATAACAAATGCTGGCGAGGATGTGGAGAGATTGGTACTCTTAAACACTGCTGGTGGGGACTGTCAAATGATACAACCACTGTGGAAAGTAGTATGGGGATTCCTTAAAAAGTTGGAATTAGCAATACCATTTGACCCAGCTATTCCATTACTAGGTATATATCCTAAAGAAGTGAGAGCCGGGACAAGAACAGTCATATGCACACCCATGTTCATCACAGCACTATTTACAATAGCCAAAAGATGGAAACAACCTAGGTGGCCATCAACAGAAGAATGGATAACCAAACTATGGTACATACACCCAATGGAATATTATGCAACCCTAAAGAATAACATAGAATCTGCAAAACACTGCATAATGTAGATGAACTTGGAGGACATAATGTTGAGTGAAATATGTCAATCACAGAAGGACAAATATTGCATTAGTCTGTTATTGTAAAAAGTCAAGGAAAGGTTTATATATGGAAGGAAGTTTTCTTTGTTGGTTACCAGTGTTGTGAGGGGAGGGGAGGGAACACTGCTAGATAGATAGAGACAAGTACTGATTTGGGTAAAGGGAAGGGCAATATCCCAAATGTGAATGATCAACAAGGTGGCATTGAGGAAGAGAAAGACATAAAGAGATGCATGGAAGATACAGATTACAAAGATGAACACTTTTGCACTTACAGTATTACATTGTCAGTGATGGACAACATTGATCTACGGGTGGATAGATGGGTGGACAGGCTGAACAATTAGGTACATCTGTGTGTGGGGAAATATGCCCATGACCATGTATAGAATTGGCAGACAATGTTTCCACAAGTGTCTTTGTGTGTTCTGTATGAATTTTCAGATATGTAGTAGAGCTGACAAGAGACAAGGTTGTAGTCAGTTTTTGGTCAAAGCCAGCTGCCTGGAGGGAGTGAGTAGTTGGACCTGTGGGCTTGGGACTATGGTCCCAGGAAACATCAAGCTCAATTAGCATAACATACTACACAAAAACATTGTTCCACATCCTACTTTGGTGAGTAGTGACTGCGATCTTAAAAGCTTGCAAGCAACCTTCTAGATGCAATGATGGGTCTCTCCTCACCCAGAACAAAGAAGAGTGAAGGAAATACATGGAAACAATTAGTCCAAGGGACTGGTACACCATGCCATCCTCAGCCTATATGACTATGAGACTAGAAAACTAGATGGTGCCCAGTTACCACTGTCAACCACTGGGAGGGGTATCTATGTAGAAGATCCTGGATAGAGTGAGAGAACAATGTGGAACAAAACTCAAAATCATGAAGAAAAAGAGACCAGGTTTGCTGGTCTGATACAGCCTGATGGAACCCCTGAGTCCATGGCCCCTAGTTGCCCCTTAAATCTGGAATTGAACCCACTCCTGTGGCTTCCAGCCAAATAAAAGACAGACATATGAGCTGAACATTTACATTAGGTAGATACACTCCATGGAGAGATCAATTATGGGAGACTAGAAGGGCTGTGTATGCACAGGGAGACAGCTTGGGTGGCAGGAATGCATGGGAGGGAAGGACACAGGGGAAAGGTAACTATTGGGAAGAATTGCATTGTGGGAGCAGTCAATGTCATGATACAAAGTGTATATGAACTGCTGTAAGGAAAATGAATTTGCTCTGTAAACTTTCACCCAAATAATAATGAAAATTGAAAAAAAAATCTGAACTAGTTATGGAAATCTTGTAAGGAAAACCTTTCAGTTTTTTGTTTTTGGGAAGAATTATAAATTCCTAGAGAGGATATTTTGTTGTTGTTGTTGTTGTTATGTGCCGTCGAGTCGGCCCCGACTCATAGCGACCCCTCCTTGGGTTTCCGAGGCAGTATCACTACAGAAGTAGGATTGCCCAACCTTCCTTCCGAGGAGTGGCTGGTGGGTTTGAACCGTCAGCCTTCTGGTTAGCAGGCAAGTGACTTAACCACTATGCTACCAGAGCTCCTTAGCTCCAGTCAATAAAACAAGTTTTAAACAAGAAGATAAATTCAGACAAATCCCTGGTCAATAATTATGATTTACCCTTGTTGTTGTTGTTGTTTGCCGTCGGCCCCGACTCATAGCGACCCCTCCTTGGGTTTCCGAGGCAGTATCACTACGGAAGTAGGGTTGCCCAACCTTCCTTCCAAGGAGTGACTGGTGGGTTTGAACCGCCAGCCTTCTAGTAGAGCAGTCAAGTGCCTTAGGCACTATGCTACCAGTACCCTACAATAGTGAATACTTAAAGAATATTTTTTATTAACTCTTTTAATCCTCCCATAAAGCTTCTTATGTAAATACTGTATATTACAATATACAGTATGCATTTTACAAAGGATGAAACTGAAGATTAGTGAGCTTAAGAAATACAGCTTGTAGTTTGGAAAACCAGCTGGAATCTAGGTCTCTCTGGACAAAAGCATGACTATTTAATATTCTCTACTGCCTCTTTTATATGTAAATAAATTCAGAGTTCTTGAAAAAGTAAGACAAGGGTGATTTGCATTGTATCCTAAGAACTATTATTGTGATAATTTTTCAAATGATAGAGGAATTTTGAGAAAAGATATGAGATAATCTGTGTTTGTGCTGCTACTCTGTTTGTATATACTCTTTTGAAAGAATTTCATAAATTCTCCATGAATACTAATTGTTGGAATGCTTGCCTTTTAAAATTTGAATGACTACATTTAATTTTAATGAGTTTATTGCTACCTACTGAAGATAGTAAATATTGAGGTTTTCTGATTTTTTTTTCTCTGAACATTTTTTCTAGGGTCAGCGCCTTTTTGAAAAGTTGCTCCAACTGACTTCACAGAATATTGAAATCAAGCTAGTGAGTGATGTAACAGCTGATTCAAAGATATTAGAAGCCTTGAAATTAAAGGGTAAGGCCAAGGTTGATATGTTCCTCTACCACTGGGTATTCTATTAGGATACCTTTAATTTCACTTAAAACAATTTATAATTTCTTAATAATCAAAATATTTCAGTACACTTCTTATTTATCCTTTGAAAAGTAGCCTGATTGAAACTTTTAAATGAGATAATTTATTCATCAGCAGGACCAGGATTTTTAAAATAGTGTTGTTGCATATTAGTTTAGGCAATATATTATACTGGCCCTTACATGATCATTAGCGTGAAGGAAGAATCTTTCTCTCTCAACACTTCACTGATATGATTAGAGAAATAGCCCCTTCTCATCGAGCAAACATTGGATTTGTTTTTCTCTTGCACATCAAAAGACAATCCTCTCTTTGGAATGTAATTTTTAAAAATAATATATAGTTAGATCTAGACATCTGTGAAGCATGGCTTAATTCTCAACTTCTAAGACAGTTTCATTGGAGGGCATCATTTATACTGCCAATTTGTGATTCATCACACAACCTCATGAAGACTGAGAATAAATGTGAAATAATGTTCTTCATTTTACTGTAACTTGCACTAACTGAACTCTCACTTCTGAACAGTTTTTATTTATTTGTAAACATTTTTACCCTGAATTTACTATCTGAGATGAAACCCACCCTAAGGAATCAAGGGGTCCACAGGAGAGGAGGAGGAGCTGGCTTCCATGAGTCTCACTGCTTCACATGTGCCATAACCTCTCACATTGTGTTATTAAACCTATTGTGTAAAAAAAAAGAAAAAGAAAAAGAAAATATTGTGCTAAAATATATAACTCGGAAGGAAGGTTGGGCAATCCTACTTCCGTAGTGATACTGCCTCAGAAACCCAAGGAGGGGTCGCTATGAGTCGGGGCCGACTCGACGGCACATAACAACAACAACAACAACAACAACAACAAAATATATAAATAACAAAACATTTCCCAATTCAATAATTTTTAAATGTACTATTTAATGATATTGGTTACTTTCATCATGCTGTGCAACCATCACAACTATCCATCTCCAAATTATTCTACCACCATTAACAGAAAGAAACTCAGTGCTCGCTGTATTGTTTCTCTAGTGCTGATGTAACAGAAATACCACAGATGGATGGCTTTAATAAACAGCAATTTATTCTCTTACATTTTTAGGATGCTAAAAGTCTGAATTCAGAATGACGGCTCTAGGGGCTGGGTGAAGGCCCCTCAACAATGGGCTTCAGCTTTGCCTTTTGTTCCAGGCCCACTGGAGCAAGTTCAAAGCTTCTTCTAAGTCATGCAGCTGCTGGCTGCTGAGGCTAATGTACCCAAGATTGACAGGTAAAATGGCACAATCTCAAGATGGGAAGGAACACAGCAGGCCACTGGTTCAAGTCCAGGAGTAATCCCAAGATCGACAGACAACATGACAGGCCACTGGTTATCCAAATTGTGCCAAAAAGCTAGAGACCTTTCTCAGAGCTTCTCCAAACATGCTGGAAGCAGACTACACTCCAAAAGCAGCTCCCTTTCCACTGATTAACATCTCACAGCAGATTCTACCATGGAGGTGATTACAATCTCATCATGGGGAAGAACTATATCCAGCTGTCAAGCCACTCAAAACCATGCCCCAGCCAAGTTGACACACATCTGTAACTGCCATACCCCCTAAGAAATGCCTCCACTTTCCTCTCTCCCTCTACCACTGGTAATCACTAATAAGCTTTGTTTTATATGTCATTGTTGCTGTTGGATGTCATTAAGTTGACTCCAACTCATAGCAACCCTATATACAACAGAACTAAACACTGCCCAGTCGTACACCATCCTTATAATCCTTGCTATACTTGAGCTCATTGTTGCAGCCACTGTGTCCATCCATCGTGTTGATGATCTTCCCTTCTTTGTGGACCCTCTACTTAACCAAGCATGAGAGCCTTCTCCAGGGACTGGTGTCTTTTGACCACATGACCAAAATAGATGAGATGAAGTCTGGCCATTCTTGCTTCCAAGGAGCATTCTGGCTGCACTTTTTCCAGGACAGATTTGTTCATTCTTCTGACAGTCCATGGTATTTTCAGTATTCTTCAACAATACCATAATTCAAAGGCATTGACTCTTCTTTGGTCTTCCTTATTCATTGTTCAGCTTTCACATGCATATGAGGTGATTGAAAATACCGTGGCTTATGTTAGACTCACCTTAGTCTTCAAAGAGACATCTTTGCTTCTTAACACTTTAAAGAGGTCTTTTCCAGCAGATTTGCCCAGTGAAATATGTTGTCTGATTTCTTGACTGCTGCTTTTATGGGTGATGATTGTGGATCCAAGTGAAATGAAATCCCTGACAGTATCACTCTTTTGTCCACTTATCAAGATGTGGCTTATTGGTCTATTTGTGAGGATTTTTGTTTCCTTTTTGTTGATGTGTAATCCATACTGAAGACTGTAGTCTTTGTTCTTCATCAGTAAGTGCTTCAAGTCATCTTCACTTTCAGCAAGCTAGGTTGTGTCATCTGCATATAGCAAGTTGTTAATGAGACTTCCTCCAATCCTGATGCCACATTCTTCTTCATATAGTCCAGTTTCTAGGATTATTTGCTCAGCATACACATTGAATAAATATAGTGAAAGGATACAATCCTGACACACACCCTTCCTGATTTTAAACCATGCAGTATCCCTTCATTCTATTTGAACAGCCTGTTGGTCTATGTACAGGTTCCTCCTGAGAATAATTAAGTGTACTGTATACATTTGCCTGTTTCATACAAGTAGGATCACACAGTATTTCTCCCTTTGTGCTTATTATAAATTTTTGATGGTTATCTTCCCAATATTACTAAGCAAAGCGACCTTCAAAAAAAGGAAAAAATAAAGGAAGTAAGTGAGCACAAGGGGCCTGTTCTTCTGAAGAAAGAAAGCTGGAAGTGATAAAGCATGTTGAGATACATAAACGTATATAAGACTAAGCTGGGCCATGTACATGTACCTATGGCCATAGATATTATTGTTTATCTGCAGAAGAAAATTGGTGAGAATATTGCTGGGTCTGAAAAGCTTCACTGCACTACTTGAGCATAGCATAATATTTTTGAAAAAGTAGAGAAATGCTGTTTCAGTGGATTGACAGATATAGTCAGCATGGATTAGAAATGTATTATGACTTTCCAATTAAAAAAAAAATGAAATTGTGTTCTTACTATCTGAAAATTTGTTACTGAATGCAATTATAGGAATGAATTACTTTTGGTTGACTGAGGATGCCTATATTTGCAGATGATTTTTCTCATGGAGAACTTGGAGGATTTGCTTCCTCATGGAGGACTTGCATCTCCTTTGGGTATGATTTTTCAGGAAGAATAAAAAAAAAAAAATAGGAAGAGAGGGAGAGAAGCTGAGAATTCAGTTAGTTGTTTATTTATCGACAAATCTATTCCTTACCATAGTCCTTGCCTAATACTGTAAACTCAATGAAAAGTTGAAATTAGAAGGTACTAGACAACATAATGGATATTCTTAGACATTCTTTAATATTTAGCTGCTGTTCTGGTTAGCTAGTGCTGCTCTGACAAGAATATACCACAAATGGGATGACTTGAACAAACAGGAGTTTATTCTCTTACAGTTTGGAGGCTTTAAGTCTGAGTTCAAACTGCCAAGCTCTGGGGGCTGTGTGAAAGCACCTCAATCTTGGGCTTCAGCTCTGCCTCCTGCTCCTGGCCCACTGGAGCAAGAGGCTTGTCTTCACTCAGACAGCTCCTATCTGCTGAGACTGATAAACCCAAGGTTCACAAGTAAAAAGGGACAGTCCTGATGTTCCAAAACCACATGGCAGGCCATTAATTCAAGTCCATTGAGAGTTCCAAGGTTGGCAGAGCATGGCAGGCTGCTGAACAACAACATGGCTACATGCAGAGTTTAAGTGTGCCATAAGCTAGAGACCATTCCCAAAACTACTTTTTATATATATGAAGCAGACCACATCCCTAAATCAGCTACTCAGATGCTTGTGGTAGATCCCACCATGGAATTGATTGCCAGTCTTCTTATGGGGAATAACTACCACCAGCTGCCCAGCCACTCAACTAAGCCAACTCAATGTGCCAACCAAGTTGACATACAACTTTAACCACCCCAGCTGCCTAAATAGGAATGGAGTTCCTGGGTGGTACAAACAGTTAACAGACTTGGTTGCTAACTAAAAGGTTGAAAGTTCAAGTCCACCCAGAGGCACCTCAGTATAAAGACCTGGCAATCCACTTCTGAAAAATCAGCCACTGGAAACCCAAAGAGCCCAGTTCTGTGACACACATCAGCTTGCCATGAATCATAATTGACTTGACAGCAATTGAGAGGTAAACAGAGAATAGCTATTAACAAATTTGTGGATAAAGGCTTTGTTTTTGTTTATATGTAAACTGTGAATTAAAGCCTCATAAATTCATGATAGTTATTGCTTCTCAAAAATAAAGGAAGTGTTTGAATTTTACAAGCATATGTAACAACTTAGGCTCTACTTTTCTTAGTTCTAACATATAATAAGCAAAAAAATTATTTTCCTTTATAATAGTAGAGCAATAAATAGGTCTCTAATTTCTCATAGCTATTTCTGTGTAAGTATAGTGGGCCGATTTGGCTTTTAGTAACACATGTATATGTATATGGAGCAGCATAAATTAAACTTTAAAGCAGTTATATTTATTTACTCCTATCCTTTGGTGGAGATGGATTAAATAATAATTTAGTGCACTTTAGAGAAAAATGTATGAAACTTATTTAGATCTATATTTGAGTACCTTGCTTAAGAGTTGTCTTGTAGGTTTTTTTTGTTTGTTTGTTTTTTTTTTTTTTTTAGAGCAATATCCTGCTTGTCTTTTAGAAGAGTCCCAAGAAGATTTCTCCAGAAATAGTCCACAAATACAGATAAGCATGAGATTAGCCAGGAGGTCTTCAGCTGCTAGGAAGTTATTGAAGATAGAAGCTAATCAAATGTACTATGAACAAC